TGATTCTCTCTCATCACTGATGTTTCTCTCTCTCTCTCTCTCTCTCTCTCTCTCTCTCTCTCTCTCTCTCTCTCTCTCTCCCCCCCCCCCCTCCCCTCTCCCTTTCCCTCTCCCCCTTCCTCTCTGAAATAAAAATTAAAAAATTAAAAAGAGCCGAAACCGGTTTGGCTCAGTGGATAGAGCGTTGGCCTGGGAACTGAAAGATCCCGGGTTCGATTCCGGTCAAGGGCATGTACCTTGGTTGTGGGCACATCCCCAGTAGGAGGTGTGCAAGAGGCAGCTGATGGATGATTCTCTCTCATCGATGTTTCTCTCTATCCCTCTCTCTTCCTCTCTGTAAGAAATCAAGAAAATATATTTTTTTAAAAAGAAAGAAAATGCTCTCGACTTAGGGAAGGAAAGTGAAGAGTGAAGTTGAAGCCTAAGACTGAAGGACATCCATGAATCCATCTGTGAGGAGCTGGGAAAGGCAGAAATTTGAGTTGCCTCTGCTATGGATCCCCTGGGGGAGGAAAAGATGTGAAAATTCAGATCACGAAGATGAATAGTCAATTAGGAAGGCTCTCTCACTTTGGAGTAACTCAGGCCAAAAAATTGTACATCTGAATCACAGGTGCTATGCTGGCAGCCTCTGGATTAGCTATTTTGGCTCCATAGTTAGTGAACAAGGGGATGTGCACGTACACCCAAGTGCTTCGTCATTGCTTTTGACATGGCTTATCTTGCCTTCCCATAAAGCCCTAACTCAGCACAACTCATTGGGAAATCAAGACCACAGCTGTCTGTGATCAGTGGTCACTGAGGAAGTAGCCCGCCCATGTTGTCATCAGCGGCCTCTTTTGCACCACACTTTACATCATTTCTGTGAAGCTCCTTCTTGCTTCCTAAGATCTGGGACGGTCTTGTCTGAAGACAACAGCAAACCACAGACCCAAAGGTCCTGACTCCTTGTTACATTTTGCTTGTCAGCTGCTCTCCAGGCAATAATGTGCCTGCATACCCAGCATGCAGGCAGGAAATCTCTGCCCCACACCCTTTCTTGGGGTCAAGAGCCTCCATTGCCACCACCACCATCTGCTAGTTTCCTCTCAAAATTGTGAAGGGCAAATGTTTCTTTGGGGCCCAACCTCTCTTTGTAGAGCCTTTATATCCAACTCTGGTGTCTCCCTCTTGTCCCTATGACTAGGAGCACAGTGTCCTCTCCTCTCTGTCCCTTGCCTTAATCTAGTTCTCAGAAATTAATCTCATAAGCTGAATCACACTTCCACTTAGATGACCAGGATGCTTCATAATCAAACCCCTTCCTGGAGTCTCTTCATTTTTAGTAGGGTCTCAAAGACTTAAATCTAGGGGGAAAATTTCACTGTGGAACTCCAAGCAAGAGCAAATTGCTGAGGCAAGTCTTTGAGTTGCCTGTAAGATTACATCAGTTGATAGACCAGCCCTATCTCTTCTTATTCCATCACCTGACCTCTCAAGCTATCTATTCTGCCAGCACAGAGGCCAGGAACCCCTGGATCTTGGCCAACACCCACTGCCATCTGGTCTCCCTTAGAAAAGCAAGAGAGAGACACCTCTTGTTTACTCAGTAATAATTCACTGCAATAGTCACATAACAGGTGCCACCAGCTCCAGTAAATGCAGTAAGGGCACACCACACCCTTACCTCTGCCCCATCATGACTGACTTACTCCTTGGGCTAGACAACAGATTTTATTTGGATGATAGGACAGGGCCTCTTACGCACTAAACCAGTGTTACTAGTGGTGTTTTTGACACTTGTGGTTACACTGCAATGAGACCTAGAGGTAAAGAACAAAGGCTTTTTTTAATCCTCCCCTACAGCCAATTGGTATCTTTCCCACATATGTTGTTTTGCATCTCTATATATAGAACCTAGTTTTCTATAAACAGGATGTTCTGGCTAAACAGGTCTCAACAAGCAAAACTGTGAGGCAGAGAAAGAAGGCATCTCCCCATCTTCTCTTTTTTGCCTACCCTCTTTTGCTAAATCTTGTCAGAGATAGAAGAGCTGTGAAAACAGCATGGGCTTTGGAATTGGACAGACCTGAGGATAAATCAATCCTAGCTCAGCCTTTTATTCACTGTCTGACCTTGGGTAAGTTACATAAGTTCCATGACTTTCAGCTTGCCCATGCAAAAATAATTGGTTTGCATTATAGTAACTAAGAAAATATATGAAAAGCATCTAATTACATGCCTGGCTCTCCAGGGATGTGTTTGTTCCTCCTCATCTAGCACATCATGTACCTGGTGCCTTCATGTTACTCCCTGCTGTCCAAGGCCAAGGTACGTGCCCCGTGTAAACCTTTCCTTCCTTTCCTAAACCCTATCAAAGCTCTCATCTCTTAGAGGAGCTGATCTAATCACACTGTCTAATGGAAAGCAATTCTGATTAAATGAGTTCAAGTAAAATGTGGATAATATTGCTGAGTTCCTATATTAAGTGTGTATGGGTGGGGGTTGTATTTAAAGAGCCTGGAAATTCAAATGAAAGGACATTGAATGGTGAGGCTCTCCTAGAAGACAGTATTATTGGCCTCTTTCCCTGCAAACAGAGCCCATATCACCCTCTTGTCGAGATGAGAAACCATCAGAGTTCCAGGACATCATCTCAAAATGCTGAATGTCACACCTCAAATCAACAGGTCCAGAATAGAACTTGCAGGCCTTGGCTACCCCTTCTGCACTGGCCAGCAAACACCACTTCCTTAGCCAAGAAGTTATGGTGATTTTTTTCCTAGGAGGTTTCCAATACTATTTTAAACTCCTTAGAAAAAAGCAGCAACTAAATTTGACTATGGTCATAGCCTTGGAACAGCTTGTAGGAAGTCTGGGCTCCACTTCCAGAATCACACCTTACTTCTCTGAATGATCCCAGCAAGGCCCAGATCAATACAGAAAGCAAAGTGAACCTGTGTTTTGACTTCTCTCTCAGTAATCCAGGAAGGAAGACTATAAGAAAATTTCTAAGCTCTCCAGATACAGGATCAAGAAGCAGATTATATTGCTGAAACCGGTTTGACTTAGTGGATAGAGTGTCATCCTGTGGACTGAGAGGTCCCGGGTTCAATTCCAGTCAAGGGCATGTACCTTGGTTGCGGGCACATCCCCAGTAGGGGATGTGCAAGAGGCAGCTGATCGATGTCTCTCTTTCATTGATGTTTCTAACTCTCTATCCCTCTCTATAAAAAAACAATAAAATATATTTTAAAAAGCAGCAGATTATTATGACTACAATGGCCTAAGTAGCACAATGTGCTATGTTAACTATAATTCCAAGTCAGTATGGGAGTTCTCCTTAGCTGTGTTCTACTTGATTTTCTGGCAACCCCCAGGGAGCCCAGGGCATAAGCCCAGGCTGGGATCTCAGGAGCCAGACACCACTAAGGGGTGAAAGGGGCTAGCTGGCAGCTTCAGCAGATGGCATAAAGAGGAGAGTGAAGATCAAGGTGAGTGAGGGGCTAATCCAGGCAGGATTATCCAACAACATGTGCTTAGGGAACTAGCAAAGCAGAGACCATAACAACAAATGTTTTAAATTATTTAATAGTCACCATGGTAATTTTGCTGGATTTTCTCTATACTTTAATACTGTCCTTAAAATACATATACTGGGGGCTGAAGTATGAGGGACATCGTAATTATCCTATTGTGTAGGCCTCTAAAGTTTTAATCTGATCCTTGGCTTTAACAAGAAGCAAGAAAAACTAGGATTCCAAAGCTTCAAGGTCAACATTCATTCAATAAACATTTCCTGAGGGATTAGCTAGTAAGTGCCAGGTCTTTGCTCAGTCGTAGGTTACAGCAGCAAACAAAAGATATGGTTCCTGTCTGGCCAGCATGGTTCGGTGGTTGAGTATCAATCTATGAACCAAGAAGTCACAGTTCAATTCCAGTCAAGGTTTATGTCCAGGATGTGGGCTCAATCCCCAGTGTGAGACATGCAAAAGGCACCTGGTCAATGATTCTCATTGTTGATGTTTCTATCTCTCCCTCCCTCTCTCTTCCTTCCTCTCTGAAATGAATATATATATATATATATATATATATATATATATATATATATATATATATATATATAATTTTTTTTTTTTTTTTTTTAAGATATGGTTCCCAAGTTCCCAAAGTTTAATCTAGTGAGAGGAGCTGACCATAAGAGCAGGATCCAAAGCAAAACATCTATAATGGAAAACAGATGAGATTCCAGAGCCAGCCACAGGATGCAGGTCTTTTGGGCAAACAAGGAGCTACAGTGAAGAGCTGGGTCAGATAATGTCCTTACCTCCTCACTCCCAGTGGCAGGGCAGAAAGCTACTGTGGAGATTTGTGATCATCAAGAACAAGTGACTGGGGCAGCCACAGACAGTGCTACCATGAAGCAGCTCTTTTTCTGCTCACAGCCATTAACTGTGATATGTGCTATATGAGCCATGTGTGAGATCTTAAAAGCTCCAAATAAAAATAAAGACCTGAATTGTCTACTGACAGAAATTTTTGGAAGCATAGTGGGCCAGAAATCAGACGCATAATTCAATTGCCAGGAGTTGGGTGACCCTCCCCTCGTCACCCACACTTCTCTGATAATGCATGGAAATGAAAATAAAAGCCTGATTTTCCCTAAAGAATTGGAGTCAGGAAGAGACCTGGTGAAATGATCAGGCTATAGCCAGAAACTTCAGGAGAAGAGTTTCTGCTTCAGGATGTGAAGTGTGCAAGGATGGGGAAAAGGCTGGGCCTGCTGTGAGAGAAAGGACCCATTCCAGCAGCTCAGCCCCAGCACTACCAGATGCTGATGGCTATGGTGAAAGTGTAGAGCTGACAACAGCAACAGCATGGAGTAAGTACCCAGCCAGCCAAGCAGAGATCTCCAAATATTTGACCATTCTGGGCCTCCATTTCCTTACCTGAAAATGAAGACGATAATAAGTGTGTATACTGGTTTCCTAGGGCTACTGTAACAAAGTCTAGAAACTGGGTGGCTTCAAAACAACAGAAATTTATTTTCTCACAGTTTTGAAGGCTAAAAGTCAAAAATTAACGTGTCAGCAGGGCTGTGCTCCCCAGAAGGCTGTAGGGAAGAATCCTTCCTTGCCTCTTCCAGCTTCTGATGGTTGTCAGTTATCTTTGCCATTCCTTAGTTGGTAGCAGCATAACTTCAATCTCTGCCTCCATCTTCATCTGGCCATCTTCCCTCTGGTATGTCTCCCTCTTCTTATAAGAACACCAGTTATTTGATTAGGACCCACCCTAACCGAGTATGACTTCATCTTAGCTTGATTACATCTAGAAAGACTCTATTTCCAAATAAAATGACATTCACAGGTTCTGAGTGGACACTATTCAACCCAATACAGAGGATCTACTTCATGAAGAGTGTGTGTATGTGTGTGTGTATATACATACATAAATAAAATATATGTATATATGTATGTATATTGCTTAGAACAGTTCCTAGCACGTAATATATGCCATGTAAGAGTTAGCTACCCTTCTTTATTATCTCTGGCAGAGAGTAGCCATGGGATATGTGAATGCTCTACAATACAAGAATCATCCTCCCTCTATCTTGAATCAGAGGCAAGCAACTGGATGGTACTAGAGTTCCAAAAAGAGCTAGTAAGGGCAGAATTATAACACAGTGAGTTTATTACTATTCAATACTTCCTATCAATACCCCAATAATACTCCCAAGCTGCAGTGAGGAAATACCTGCTATAGTCACTTTATTTGTTTCTTGAACAACACAGAACTTATTATTGCAAACTAACAATGCCCCTTCAAAATAGTCCCCAAATTAGGATCCACTTAGGAGGAGCCTCTAGAGCCAGTGGAGAATTGCACCAATGAGCAGAGCAGTCTTATCACTTAGTCAAGTTGTTAGTTCTGATCCCAAACTGCTTTACACAGCATGTTCATTCCACAGCTTAGTAACAGAATGATTATTGACTACTGACTGAGTTTGAAATGGAGATTTGCTATCTCTAGGATATCCTACTTTCAAATTAAAAGAGGAAAGAACAGATTCTCCTGAAGGAGAACCCTTCCTCATTGTTGCTCCTACTCTTGATCCTTCTTCTTCAATAAATGTTTGGGAAACGATCCAACTAAAAAAAAAGAACCAATCCTAGCTGGTTTGGCTCAGTGGCTAGAGTGTCGGCCTTCAGACTGAAGGGTCCTGGGTTCAATTTCAGTCAAGGGTATGTGCCTGGGTTGCAGGCTTGAGTCCCAGTAGAGGGTGTACAGGAGACAGCCAATCAATGATTCTCTCTCATCACTGATGTTTCTATTTCTCTCTCCTCCCTTCCTTTCTGAAATAATATTTTTTAAAAAATAAAATATAGAGAAGGAGCCAAATCACAATTGCTGTCTTCATATGAAAATAAATTTCAGGTGGATTAAAGACTTAAAAATATACATATAGCCGAAACCGATTTGGCTCGGTGGATAAAGCATTGGTCTGCAGACTGGAGGGTCCCAGGTTCGGTTCCAGTCAAGGGCATGTACATTGGTTGCGGGCACATCCCCAGTGGGGGTTGTGCGGGAAGCAGCTGGTCGATGTTTCTCTCTCATCGATGTTTCTAGCTCTCTATCCCTCTCCCTTCCTCTCTGTAAAAAAATCAATAAAATATGTGTTTTTTTTTAAATAAAACAAAAATACACATATACACAAAGTACTTAAAGAGAATGGGTTACTATTGTATTTTTATAATATATTCCCAACCAATAACAAAGCATGCCTTTTCTTTTTATTTATTTATATCTTTTATTCAATTTATTGGGATGACAGTGGTTAATAAAATTTTATGTTTCAGATGTACAATTCTATAGTACATCATCTGTACATTGTATTATATGTTCACTACCCAAAGTCTAGTCTCATTCCATCATCATATATCCTCCCCAAACCCCCCTCCATCCCACCCCACGCTTTTACCCTCTTCTATCATCCCCTACTCCCTTTCCCTCGAGTAATCACCATACCTTTATTCTGGCTGAGTCAGAATTCACACCCCAGAAGGCTGGCTCCAGAGTCACATTCTCAACTACTATGTTACAGTGACAAGACCATGTCTCACCTGTCAGATGGGGATACAAAAAATACACAACCCAGTGATACGCATAATGTGGAGAAATTGGCAACCTCATGCACTATTGATAGAAGTTATCATTCTTAAAGGTAGTCTGACTGCATGAATTGACAATTTAAATATGCATAATCCTTTAACTCGGGCATTCCATTTCTTGGAATTTATCATATGGAGACAGGTAAGTGTGCTAAGTTTATATACCAGGGTATTTATCACAGAATGTACATAATAACAAAAATATTGCAAATTAAAAACTTAATAGTTACACAAAAGTCCAACAAATTCATTCATTCAACAAATATTTATTGAGCACCAATAGTGACCAGGAACTATTCTAAGCACTAGGTATACAGTAGTAGGAAAAAGGAGGGGGAAATCTCTGACTTCATGAAGCTTACATTCTAACGGATGGAGCATGTTACACAATAAACAAATACAGTTTTAAATGTATATCAAGTGGTATTAAATACTATAGAAAAAAATAAAGGAGATAGAAAAGGAAGGAGGTTTGTTACAATGTTAAGAAAGGGGTGGTCAGGAAAGGCCCCATTGGTAATATACGAAATAAATAGATTAAATATTAGAGAACAAAATATATTATGGTATAACAGCACATTGAAATGTAATTCAACCACTTACTCTATACTAATACTGGTTAACATGAAAAGATGTCCATAACATACAATTAAATTAAAAAAGGTCCTCATCACACACAAAAAATAGGTAACTGTGTGGTGATGAATGTGGTAATCGTTTAACTATACTAGTATGTATATAAAATCATCACATTGTATACCTTGAACTTACACAATGTTATATATCAATTATATTTCAATAAAAATAGGGGGGAAGGTTAATATATATATATATATTACAAAACAGTATTAAAGAAAAAAAAAATGCCCTGACTAGTTTGGCTCAGTGGATGCAGCATCAGCCTGCATAGTGAGGGGTCCTGGGTTGGATTCCGTTAAGGGCATGTACGTTGGTTGTGGGCACATCCTCTCTGCAAAAAAAATGAATAAAATTTTATTTTTTAAAGAAAAAAAAAAAAAAACAGCCGAAACTGGTTTGGCTCAGTGGATAGAGCGTCGGTCTGCGGGCTGAAAGGTCCCAGGTTCAATTCCAGTCAAGGGCATGTACCTTGGTTGCGGGCACATCCCCAGCAGGGAGGAGATGTGCAGGAGGCAGCTGGTCGATGTTTCTCTCTCATCAATGTTTCTAACTATCCCTCTCTCTTCCTCTCTGTAAAAAAATCAATAAAAATATATTTAAAAAAACCAAAAAACCAGCACTAAGGTATGATTTTAATTGGTATAAAATTACATATGTACATATGCTGATACTTTAAATGGGAGGGAGGAACAACACCAGAGATTGAGAATACCAAGCAAGGGTCCAAGCTGAGGGACAAACAAGTGGTAGAGGTGACATATGTTTGTTCTCCCATCCACTCACTCATCCTCCTCCCACCTACACTTTGTTCCAGAAAGCATGTAAGGATAGCAAATCCACATACTCTCCACCAGTTATTCAACTCTCCCTATCTTTCTTCATCTTTTCCCTCCTCTTCCCAGAAACCAGACCAGTGATAGGATGAAAGGGATAAAAGCTTAAAACCAAGGTAAGCTGAGGTGGCATAAGAAGGATAGAGGGAAACCCTCCCAGATCTGGATGAGATTCCACTAATTTCGGCATAAGGGAAACAAATCCTGGGAGGCACACTTCCACCAGGCAAACTGGTAACACTTAAAGCAAGGCCATCTCAGCTGATCGATGTTTCTCTCTCATCGATGTTTCTAACTCTCTATCCCTCTCCTTTCTTCTCTGTAAAAAATCAATAAAATATATTAAAACAACAACAAAACCCAAAGGGAAATAGTGGCCAATCAGAGGGGATATTGAGGTACAAAAACTGCAGCCTTTATAAACCAGGAGAAAATAACTCAGTGGGACTCTTTCCCCCTCTCCACATGGGAGTCTGTGCTATGAGATTCTTTCCCCCTCCCCACATGGGAGTCTATACTTGTTCTTCAATAAATTTCCATCATAAATAAATAAATAAAAATAAAGCAAGGCCATCTGATTTAGAGTCCCTATTTCATCTACTTAACCCCAAATGCCTTGCAGAGTAGCCAGGAGGTGACATTCACGGGAGGTGACAGGCAGCAGGCCAGAGCTATGTGTTTGGCACAAGGTCCTGTATCTCCCTATGAGCAGGAAATGACAGAGTTGAGCCCTTTTCTCTCTCTACCATATCCTTTTTTCCCCATACCTGCACCTAACAAGCTGTCCTGGCTAAATTAAACTCATGCCCAGCTCCATACACCCACCACCTTGCCACTACTCGAGATTCACACACTTCTCCACTAAGATTCTCAAGGCTAGGTACCTACTAAGAAACTTGTCTATATACCCTGTTTCCCCGAAAATAAGACAGTGTCTTATATTAATTTTTGCTCCCAAAGATGCGCTAGGTCTTACTTTCAGGGGATGTCTTATTTTTCCATGAAGAAGAATAAGGTACACATTTATTGTTAAATGAAAATAAAGGAAATTTATTACCTGTTTATGGTACAGTAGTACGGTAGTTGTCAACACAAACCAGATAAACTGTGAATCCTACAGTATCAAGAATGACAATCATGTCATCATCTTCTGGAACATCATCATAACAATCCAATTCCTGAATTTCCTGGTGAATTTCTTATGACTCCATTTCTTTCAGAATCAGTGGACCAAATCTCTCATGTTTAGCCAAGGGGGGCTTTATTTTCAGGGGACGCCTTATATTTCACTCAGAAGGAAACCTGTCAGTAGGTCTTATTTTCAGAGGATGTCTTATTTTCGGGGAAACACGGTAGATATAGGTGCTGGGACCAGCTTAGTGGTTGAGCGTCAACCTTTGAACCAGGAGGTCATGGTTTGATTCCCGGTCAGGACACATTCCCTGGTGGTGGACTCATTCTCATGTGAGGCGTGCAAGAGGCAGCCCCAATCTCCCTCTCTGAAATAATAAAAAAATATTTTTTTTAAAGTTGCCTAAAGTGACAAAATAGGCTAATTTGTTTGGAACATTTTCAGTCTGGGGTGAGGTTTAATGGGAGCAGATTACATTTCTCGCCTGAGCATAAAACCACAAACAAGGAACTGGAAGCTCCCAAAGGTGGAATCCATGTTGCTATCCCCTATCTCTTTAGCCAGAGGGTGGGAGTGGAAGCACAGGAATAGAGGTAGAGGTCCTAGAGAAAGATTTAACTTTGAAAATATTTCTCACATACTCTCTTCTGTCACCTCTTGGGTACCTACTATATGTCAGGCCCTGAGTTAAATGCTTTCATATACTATCACCAAAATGAAAAATCACTTTTATCAAATATTCCTATTATGTGCTACTAAATTTAAGAAGCCTAAGGCACATGCAGATGTAGCTGTGCCACTGCCAGTTGAAAATCCAGGCTAGAGATTAGGAAGAGAACAGAAATCTGAGATTCTCATGAGGACTGAGACACAGAAGTCTCATGACCACAGCCTTATCAGTCCACAGCCTTAAAGACCTCATGCCAACATCTGCTCTCCTTCCTGGGCTTTCACCAGGAAACATATCTCTCTCTCTCTCTCTCTCTCTCTCTCACCCCCCAACACACTTAGTCTGTAAGTGTAAACATTCTTTACTAGTGAAGAATACAAGATAAGTCAGAGGAAAACCAAAAGCAGTCAGTCATCTCTTCAGAAGAGGAACCTCCTCCTCTCATCTTCCTTGAATATGTAGTTTCTGACTCCTGACTAGAGAATATAACATAAGACATGACTCCTTCTTTAAAGAATTTATTCTAGCCCTGGCCAGTTTGGCTCAGTGGATAGAGCATCATCCTGCAGACTGAAGGGTCCCAGGTTCTATTCCGGTCAAGGGTACATGCCTGGGTTGGGGGCTCAATCCCCAATGGGGGGTGTGCAGGAGACAGCTGATCAATGATTCTCTATCATCATTGATGTTTCTATCTCTCTATCCCTCTCCCTTCCTCTCTAAAATCAATCTATATATATAAAAAGCCAGAGACCGGAACGCTGTAATAACCAAAATGACCAGTTGCTACGACACACACTGCAGCCAGCAAACCAGTCCGATCAAGGGGTGGGGCCCCAACACCCCAATAGGCCCACAGCCCCTCCCCCCAGCCAGTTCTGCCCCAAATTGGTCCCCTCCTCCAATCAGGGGCAGGCCAACCACCCATGGCCCCTCCTCCAGGCTGCCTGTCCCCCATTAGCCCCTACCACCCTTATCAGTCTGTGGTCCCTCCCCCCAGCCAGCCCTGCCCCTATGGCTCCCCCACACACCAATCGGGGGTGGGGCTGGACAGCCAACCTCCCATGACCCCTCCCCAGCTGCTGACCCCCAATCAGCCCCCAACCCCCATCAGGAACAGGGCCCACCAGCCAATCGCCCATGGCCCCTCCCCCCAGCTGGCCCGGCCCTGATCGGGCTCCAATCAGAGGCAGGCTAGCTGGCCAATCTCCCACTGTCTCCTCCTCCTGACAGGCATGGCCCCAATCTGCCCCAATTGGGGCTGGGCTGGCCGGAACCCACCCCCATGGGTTCCGGCCAGCCATGCACGAATTCATGCACTGGGCCTCTAGTAAAAATATACTTTAAAAAAAAATAATTTATCCATTTGGAAAGACAAAATCAACACACAGAAAACATATTATAAAAATGGGATTCTGAAATTTCTAGTACATGGAACACAGAGAAGCACAGAGATACTAGTAACACAAAGGGGTGGGTGAAATAAGACAAATGGTGGTGTATCCTGACGTACACAGATAGCTTTAATTTCAAACACAATCTCCCCTTTTTTTGTTGCATTCCTAATAAAAGATGTGTTTCACTTAAAGAAAAAAATCTCAAATACAAAAATCCAAAACATAAAGTTGAGGATCATTCACTAGACAGAAAGGATCCTTCTCTTTGCTATAAAGTTTAAAGA